CTTTATATTGAGGTAGAGAAGTAACAGTCTGAAAGTGGCTCTGAGGTGAGTGCCCAACCTACTGGCCCCAAGGTACACCAGCTATGGGGAAATGAGATGCCAGCACAGAAGAGGGCTTCCCAGTATTGGTGTCCTCAGGGTTGTGGCATCCCCAAGGAAGAATGAAGTTTCCGTTAAGAAAAGGAGGTAGGCAAGTTCTGTAAAAAGGCAGATGATAAAGGCCAGCGCTTCTCAAACTTTAATGTTGTATCCAAGCCTTGGAGGCTCTCAATAAAATGCAAATTCTGATCCTGTAGGTCTGGGTTGGACACTGGAGATTTTACATTTCTAACAAGCTCTCAGGTGATACTAATGCTACTGGTCCAAGGACCACACTCTCGTGCTCTGAGTGGCAAAGATGTAGGCAATTTTGGACATCATAGGACAGGGGTTTCAGAGGGCACAGTGGAAATGTTTTTGAAGGAAGAGAGCTACATGAGGACAAGTCCATGGAGGACAGAGCAGAATAGGGATGAGTGTAGAGGGAAGAGGAGGTGACCAGAAGCATGGTGAAAGAGCAAATTAGCCATTGTTACTTTTGGCATTGTTCCAGTAGTCCTGACCTTGTGGCATCTTGGCTTTGGTGCCTGCGATGGTGGTGTTCAAATACAATGTCTGTGATCTGGTCTTGTAGGCTTCCAGCAGGGAGGCTCTGATGGCTGTATTGGCACATGGACTGACTGGCACATGGAGGAGGAAGAGACTAGGATGACTTCCATGTGTCTAGGAGATGTGATAGGAAGGCGGTGATAAGTGAGGCCATGGGAGTGAGACCACCCAGGGATAACATGCATGTAATATGTAGAAGGACAACAGACGATGGTCCAGGATGGAACCTCAGAAACACGCCAAGAGTTTAAGGTAAGGCAACTGAAAGAGTTATAGAGGTAGGTTATAATGGTGGCAGTGAAGACAGAGGACAGCGTTTCAAGAACGGACTGGTCTGTTCAATAAAACGTTATCAATAAAAATGAATCTTGCCCTGGCTGGTGTGGCTCAGTGGATTGAGCACCAGCCTGCGAACCAAAGGGTCACCAGTTCGATTCCCAGTGCAGGGCACTTGCCTGGGTTGCAGGCCAGGTCCCCAGTAGGGGGTGCATGAGAGGCAGCCACACATTGCCATTTCTCTCCCTCTTTCTCCCTCTCTTCTCCTCTGTCTAAAAAGAAATAAATAAAATCTTTTAAAAAGCATTAAAAAATAAAAATGAAACTCATGGACATGGAAAACGATGTGGTAATTGCGGAGGTGGGGAAGGGATGGGTGGAGGTGGAAGAGGGTATAGTGGGGATAAATGATGATGGAAAAAAATTAAAAGAAAATAAAAAAAGGAATAATAATTGAAGTGTTCATTGAGAGATAAAATTATTATTTTTCTATAATGTGTCTGTTTAGCAAACCCAAGGTAATCAACTGAAAAACAATTCTAATGAACAATTGTTCAATAAGGTAGCTTATTTCAAAATAAACACGCAGAAAGCCATAGACTTTTTGTTAACTAACAATAACCAATTAGAAAACATTATGGAACAGAAGACCCCCATTCACAGCCAAAAAATAACCCCTTACTGTACCCTACCCACAAGACCTTATGTGATCTCTCCCCTGCCACTTACTTGCTTCATCTATTATTCTTGTTTTTATTGAGGTGAAATTCACATAACAGAAAGCTAACTATTTTAAAGTGAACAATTAAGTAACATTTAATACATTCAAAATGTTGTGCAACCACCAACCTCTATCTAGTTCCAAAATATTCTCATCACCCCTAAAGGAAATTCATTAACAACTCCCTATTTTCCCTTCCCCTCAGCCCCTGGTAAACAGTATTCTATTTTTTGTCTCTATGAATTAGTAGATTCTAGGACCTCAGATAAGTGGAATCATATAATATTTGTCCTTCTGTGACTGGCTTTCACTTATCATGGTGCTTTCAAGTTTCATTCACATAGCAACATGTATCAGAACTTTCTTTTATTTTTTTAAAAAGATTTTATTTATTTATTTTTAGAGAGGAAGAGGAAGGGAGGAAGAGAGGGAGAGAAACATCCATGTGTGGTTGCCTCTTGCGTGCCCACAACTGGGGACCTGACCCACAACCCAGGCATGTGTCCCGACTGGGAATTGAACCTGTGACCCTTTGGTTCGCAGGCCAACACTCAGTCCACTGAGCCACACCAGCCAGGGCACTTTTGGTTTTTTTAAATTTAATCTTTATTGTATTTTTTCCACTACTATTTAGTCCCTTTATACTGCCTCCTCCTGGCAATTACCACACTGTGGCCCGTGTCCATGAGTCCTTTTTTCCTTTTTGCTCAATTCCCCCACCCCCACTAGCTGTCATCCTGCTCTCCATCTATGAGTCTGTCTCCATTTTCCTTGTTCGTTCAGTTTGTTCATTAGGTTCTACACATGAATGAATGAAATATGGTTTCTAAGTGCCTAAAATACACCAATTATACTAAAAATACTGAAATATTTTAAAATTGTGATTTAAGAATTCATGTCCTTGTCTATTAATTCCTGATGCAACAATATTTGTAGGTAGGTCTAATAATTATCATAATCTAGAAGTTTGATGAGTATAAATGCTGTTTTGAGAAATTTATTAAACTGTAAAAGAAAAAATATCCATGATTTCTATTGGTTATGAAGTCTCGGGTACTGCTAAAATTACTTTAGATTGGTACCTACGTGTAGACCCGAAGAAAATGCTAAACTTTAGTTAGAGCTTAGTGAAAAAGATGTATTGTTTTCCTGTCCCAATTCAAGGATGCTCTGAATTCTATCCACAGACCTTGGAGGTTTGTGGACTGCAGTTTAAGAGCTCCTACCCTTGCCCTGACTGGTGTAGCTCAGTGGGTTGGGCGTCATCCCACACTCTGAAAGGTCACTGGCTCAATTCCCAGGGTCAGGGCACATGCTTGGGTTGTGGGCCAGGTCCCCAGTTCGGGCCGTGTGAAAGGCAACCAATTGATATTTCTCTCCCACATCGATGTTTCTCTCCCTTTCTTTCTCCCTTCCTTCTTCTCTCTCTAAAAATGAATAAAAATCATTTTTAAAAAAGAACTCCTACCTTAAAAAGTAAAAGATAAACAGTAGTGATGAAGAGGGGTAGAGTATGTTGGAGCTGGAAGAGATTATAGTAATCCAGGAAATAACTAGCTAGGAGAAAGCTCCCCCTCTAGTCCTCACACCCATGGAACTTGGGGGTGAAAGAAGCAGTAATTTCCAGTTGAGAAGGATATGAGAGAAGCATCTTCTTTGAAGAGGAGACAGGTATCACTTAGAGGAAGGAAGCAATTTGTGAAGGTGTTGCCTCTGGGAGTATGGAATTTACCATGGACTGGGATCCAGTGAGCACAGCAGAGTGGGGAGGGAGAGAGGGCCACCACAGGAAGACGAGCCATTGGGATTGGTTAATTTGACTGGTCTGATTCATACACCTCTTCAGAGACCCTAAGAATTAGGGTCAGCAGCAGAAAGATAGGCCCAGAGTATCACTGGATATTTGGGGGTGGGGGGAATAAAAATGCACACTTTTCTTTCCTCCTTTGATCCCTTTTGTAAAATAAAATACTGAAGTAAAAAAGTTATATAATGGAGGAAAAAAATGAAACTGTGCCATGATTAGATAATTCAAACCAGCCAATCATCCAAACATTAATTAGATAAAGTCTAAGGGATTACATCCCCTGCCCCACTCCTAACTCTTCAGGGTCCTTTTAAGGATCTCTGCGACCAAGAGATTCTTTGATGCTATTACCCTTCAGAACAGTGGTTGGCTCAGAGGGATCAAAGGAAGAAAGAACTGTATTTGTAGATTTTTGTCTGGGGCTCCAGAGGTACCCTATACCTGGATCTCTCCTCTGTATGGGGCTCCTAGAATCTAGGAATCTCATTATTTTTTAGAGCTATTTTTCCCTTCTCTAAAAAGGGAATCTTCCAAAAAGGCTCAGTTTGGGGGCTGCTGCAGGTGGGAGGCACTGGCTGGGCCCTGCTTCTCCTTTGATCATGTTCCCTTCTGGCAGTGGTGTCTGCAGACTCCCTGCCCTGGGCCTCTTCTAGCCCTAAGGAAGGAAGCCCCAGATGGAGAGGCAGCAGAGGACAGAGAGATGTGCGAACAGAGGCAGGGCTGTAGTGAAGCTGGCCTAGGAAGAGCAGAAAGGGGCGAGATTGCAGGAATGGTGGTTGCGGGTGAGAAACTTCCCAGGACAGGGAGGAGCTAAGGAGTGACTATTGTTTAAGAAGTCTTGGTAAATCCCTGGCTGGTGTGGCTCAGTTGGTTGGGCATGTTACTGCAGAACGAGTTAAAATCTTTTTTAAAAAGTTAAAAAAGAAAAAGAAGTCCTGAGATCTGCAAAGGGTGGCTGTGCATGGAGACTCAGTGAGCTTGGGTGCATGTGCACATATGTGAAAGCTGTGGTGAGGGTAGTATCTCTATCAAACTTTGCCTGAGTACATAGATTTTAAAGACACAACCTTGGAGGAAGTGAGAACTGGAAAAATATCTGGACATTAGGAGAGCCAAGTGGGGCGCGCCACCGAACCTTGCAAGACTGAGCAGAACCCAGAGCATTCTGACAGGATTCCCCAGCAGTGGGGTCAAGGAGAGGTCCTGGCCTCCACTGAGTACCCAGGACAGGAGGGATTTCTGGCATAATTGGGGAAGGCTGTATGGAGGAGGTGGACATTCAGCTGGGCCCTATGGTCTAGAAGGGCAGGACTGGGATGAGAAGAGAAATGGGCAGAATGAAGGTGCACAGATAGGCATAAGGTGGTTCATGTGGGGAACAAGAAGGCGACCATCCTGAGGGGACTGGAGGTCCATTGAAGGGAGATGGAGAAATCCCACTAGATAGAAAGATTACCGAGGACATTTTAAACTTCCCCAGGAGACTATCAAAATCCCTGGTTTTTTTTTTTTTAAGTGTCCAGGCCATTTTCTTACTGTCCCCTTTAGCTACAAGCCCATCGTGGAATTCATAGATGCCCAGTTCGAAGCCTACCTGCAGGAGGAGCTGAAGATCCGCAGGGTTCTGCACACCTACCACGACTCTCGCATCCATGCCTGCTTGTACTTCATCGCCCCTACAGGTCATTCCCTAAAGTCTCTGGATCTAGTGACAATGAAGAAGCTGGATAGTAAGGTATGGAAGCCAGGGCGAGGGCCGGGGGGAGGCTGGCCAAGTTGGATCACTCTTACTGGTCTCTTGTACAAAGAAGAGGCCAGGTTCCAGGAGAGGTCTTATGGTCTCTTCAACCTCTCCTTTATTCCTTGTCCTTCCATAAGCATGATGCTGTCAATCCAGATCCTGTGCCAAATACTTTGTTTTCGCAGCACAGGGCACAGGTTTGTCCTGAGCTGTCTTTCTTCCCTGATCCCTCTTGGGCATAAGGGTGCATGTAAGCAAGACGGCTGTCCCGGTGTAGGGTCTCAGGCTTCGGCAATGGAAAGGTTTTTTTTCCTTTGTCCCCGTTAACTGGCCTGTACTAAAATCAAACATGCAAACTGGGCTTTGAAAGTTGTTATTCTTATTAGCAATACTTATTTTTATAATTGCAGCTAACATTTGTTAAACTCGCATGTGCTACCACTGTGCTAAATACTTCACGGAGCAGCTCATTGAATCCTCACAACAATCCTGTGAGGCAAACACTGTCATTATCCCTCATTTTACAGGGGAGAAAACTGAGGCTCTGAGAGGCTAAGTGACTTGCCCATTGTCATGTAGCTGGCTGTTGGCAGAGCCTAGATTTGAATTCAGATCTGTGGCACCATGTTCTGTTGTCTCCCTTCCCAAGAAAGGGAATCAGGCATGTGCTGCTTTAAGGGAAAATGGAAACTGCTGATCCCACTCCAGATATAAATTAGACAGTGATTCTTCATGTTAAAGGATTATTTGCTACACAAAAGAATTGACTATGGAATTCTTTAGAAAAACTGATTACTAGTACATTTTTTCCCCTAATATTTTATAGGTGCCTAACACTGTGATGAGCATTTTATATGCACTATTTTATTTCATCTTTCTATGATGGCGCAGAGAGTCAAAAATCTTGCTCAATGTTAGACAACTTGTAATGGGTCTAGGATTCAAACAGAACTCTCTCTTATTCCAAGTTTTTTTTTTGTTGCTGTTGTTATTTACACAAATCTAATTGATATGCAGTTATTTATTAGCATGTCCTCTATAAAAACTGAATTTCAGCTATAATCAAAATAGAAGCAGTTTTTCATTTTTCACAGCAATGAGCTCAGTGCCCATGAGTAATAGGCTGCTCTGGAAATGTCACCATGCCCTGCATGCCCTGCATAGGGCAGCAGAAAGCCACGTGACTGGTGGCCTGGTGAGTGGGCAGGTTAAGTAAGCAGCCTTTGGCATATATTTATAGTGTGCGGATGGAGACATGATAAAGAGCGAAGAGGAAAATTGGCTCTTCTTTCTGTTCCCCCTTAGCAAGGACACTTCAAGGGAGGTGCCTCCAACGTCCATTCTTCCCTTGACCTAGCACCTGAAGCCCTATGTGATGTCAGTCTTAGAGGTGTTCTTGAGGCAAAGTGCAAAGGAAGCAAAATATGTCTTCCAAGTCTAAAGCTCCCAGGCCCCCCTTTCACATTCCTTTTAGCGCCGCAGCTCCATCCATGCGCCCCATTGGAGGCTGCTGGCAGGAATGACTGTGCTCTCCATGTGCACCTGAGCTTGAGAGCGCTGTTTCACTAAGCCATATGCATTGCAAGTTTCTTTATCTTCTGGCAGTAAAAGCCTTGCCCCTTCATGGAGAAATATCAAGGATCAGGTCAAGGGTTCAGGTGGCTTGAATTTGGGGGCAGCAGTAAACCTTTCTCCTGTTGTTTGAAATTGGGCATTTATGCTTGCTTGCTTTATGCAGAAATTGACCATGAGACTCAGGCAACATAACTCTTCGAATATGTCTCAGATCAAATTGGTAACTGAGAGGGTCCTTCACCTAACTGCGTTGGTTCATCATTGTTTGCTGCCAAAAAGAGGGCCATCTGTGCACTGTCACTGAGCTCCCTACTGCCTCCCCTTCCTGCCATCCCCCATGTAGGTCTTCATAACACTTGCTGGGGCTAACATGCACTGGCTGGGTTGGGACAGTTTACTGTTGGCAAGAAGTGCCTATCTTTCCCCTTGTCAACTACAGATTTCCAACTGTCATCTTTCTTTTCTTTTGTTAAAAAAGATTTTATTTATATTTAGAGAGGGGAAGGGAGGGAGAAAGAGGGAGAGAAACATCAATGTGTGGTTGCGTCTCGCGCGCCCCCTACTGGGAATTTGGCCCGCAACCCAGGCAGGTGCCCTGACTGGTGATCAAACCGGCCACAATTTGGTTCGCAGGCCGGCACTCAGTTCACTGAGCCACACCAGCCAGGGACCAACTGTCATCTTTCTGATTCAAATCACTGGAGCAGTGACCTTGACATTAAAATATCATGCAGCTCATCAGTTTGGATCTGAGCTGGTAGACAGCTCATGGTTAAGACTGTGGACTTAGGAATAAGGCTAAACTTGGATTTGGATCCAAGTTCTGCTACTTGCCTGCTCTGTGGGCTTGGACAAGTTATTTAACTTCTCTATGCCTTAGTTTCTCTTTGGTAAAATAGTGGTAATGATACCTCCTGGGAGGGTTATTGTCAAAATTGTGTTAATCTCTGTAAAGCACTTACTTCCTCATAAGCACTCATTGTGAATAATTATATTATTTGGTTACAGAGGTGGTCGTCCTAGACCACCGGGTTGAGGGGCTCCCTCTGGCAGCTGGTGGAAGTTCTAAGCCATGCTGCTCTCCATTGCAAATTATCAACAATGTTCCCACACTGCTCCTTTCTTCTGTAGGTGAACATAATCCCCATCATTGCCAAGTCGGATGCCATTTCTAAGAGTGAGCTAACGAAGTTCAAAATCAAAATAACCAGTGAGCTTGTCAGCAACGGGGTCCAGATCTACCAGTTTCCTACAGATGACGAGTCGGTGGCAGAGATCAATGGAACCATGAACGTGAGTGGGAGCACAGGGGTTCAATGTGCTGACCATTTGCTCTTTATTTCACCAAATAGTTGTCAAACATCTTCACCATTCATTTTAGTGTAGTCAATTCTTGGTTATCTGGGTCTCAGGTATTTGTGAGAGGGAATGCAGAATGAAACAGCTCCTCTTTCCTTGGAGTGGCTGCTTCAAACCCTCAGATGCAGAGATTTAGCCAGAAACTGAAGGAGGGAAAGGCTGACTCCAGGAAAAATCTGGAGCAGGGGATTCAGATCTCTTCTTCCATCCTCCTCTTTGATGCTGCTCTGGTCTAGGCCAGGCAGCCCCCAGGGGACAGCTGGAAGGGCAAACATTCTTTGTCTCTGACCAAAATAATGCTATGACAATTGATTTCAGTGAATGAAGGAAAAGCTAAAAAAAATTAGCTGGCTTTGGAGACACAAGGATAATCTGTACTCAGATAATCAAGCTCTCTGCCCCTGGGAGGAAAAATGATATATTGCCTCCAATTTTTCTGGTGACTAGAGAAATGTTATTTTTTAAGTTTCAGGGTTGTGCTTTGGTTTAGTAAGTGTGAATGACTTTTTTTAAAAAGCAACTTGCCGTCTTGCCTCTCCTCCCTCACTCCGCCCCCCCCACAGGAATGAGTAATGAAAAAGGCAGAGAGTCAAACATCTCCTCATGCTTCTTTACAATGTGTTGATGCTGTTGCTGTGAAATCTTCAATGTTATGATTTCAAGGAGACAGCTAATAGCTTTCAGAAAGCCTCTGCTTTGGGAACAGATTTCTTTTTCTCTACTGGGAGGCATCAGTTTTTCCTAATGACATAATGCCTGGGTATAGCCAAACTCAGGAAAGCTTTGTAATAAAAGCCATTTTTAGAAACTTCCTGCTGCTGCTGCACTGTAAGTTATCATTCTAGCATCAGCTGCCACCTATTATGAATTGGCCAACAAATTTGCATAGCAGGGCAGCAAGTCATTGTCTTGCCTGACTTCCTGCTTATCAGTACAGTTGAGATATGTTTGTTATTAGAAATTCCTTGTCATCTTTGACAAATCTGGCCCCAGAGGAAGGCTATGTGGCTTGTGGTAGGTAGAACTATACCTCTGACCAGCTGTGAGCACTAGCAAAAAAAAAAAAAAAAAGATTAGTACTTATTCTCTCAAGAAGTCAGGATGTTTGAATGGCAACCAGGGTCTGTCACATTGAGAAAACCTGAAGTGGGCCTAGCCTGCAGAAAAATGGGATCTTAGAGAGAAGCGTCATCTGGTGTCAATGGCACTGATACCTGGAAGCACCTGTCACCTCAGAACATAGGGCCTCATAGAGGTCTTCAAACTTGGATTCCCTAAGTCCCCAGGCAACTCTCAGGCTTGTGGTTTGCTTTGCTAAGTATGGAAAGGGGCTAAGAGTTCTCAGAAATCTCAAGGCATCACACAAAACTACATCTCAGTATATTGTGGATCAGGACTGAAAATCATTTTGGCCTCTGCTTTCATCCAAGTTCTGTCCTCCTGTTTGGTCCTAGGGTAGGCACAGCCTCAATGTTGGAAACTTCCTGTGCTATGAAGCAACAGTTGTCAGCCACTCTGCTTGGGCAGTGAAGGGGTTTTCAGTCCTTTTTTACAATAGTCCAAAGTTTGCTAGTATTTCACGTTGAAAAACTAAATATTTTTCCTTTTTAAAAATTAAGTTGATATACAATTTTATGTTAGTTCCAGGTGTATATAACACACATAATGATTCAACATTTATATACCTCATGATGTGATCACCCGATAAATCTAGTAACCATCTGTCACTATACAAAGTTATCATAATAATATTGATTATTTTTCTTATGCTGTACATTACATCCCCATGACTCATTTTTTTAATAACTGAAAGTTTAGTGCATTTAGGGTTATTCTTGTAAAAACATCACTCAGCATTCATTCCCTGGCATTCCACCATGCTTTTCTGAGTGGGAAAGAGAGGGCTGACCTCCAGCTAGTGTGTCTGGAATTGGGCATGCTCGTGGGAGGGGGACATGCATGGGAATGCTATGTGTTATGTGAGTTGTGATGGAGACAGAATGGGGGGTCGCTGATATGAAATAATATGCACAGGATCTCTTAGCCTGCCCACCACTGTTACAAGTGTATCCAAAGTTCCCAGGGTCTTCGGACGAACTGTGGTATACGAAGCTGCATCATCAGAGACCTGGGCTTGGGTGGTAGGAGGAATGGGTGCTGGCCTTTCAACTCTGGATTTGACTCCAGCCCCACAGCCTCAGCCACCCCAGCCACTTACCATGAGAGATGGATTGGAAGAAGTAGAAGAAGCCTCTTGCCTAAGTGAAGAAGACCATACAGCCATCTTGCCACTCACCACTAAGGATTTTCATGGGAGGAAATGAAAGTAATGAGGTCTCAGCCTCCCCCTTGACTTATTTCAGATTGAGGGGACAAGACAAGGGAGTGAGAGATCTTGTGGCATTCTATTTTCAATCCATGCTCTAATAACTCTCAAGTTTATAGACTTTAATACTAAAAATTGCTGTGCTATTCAAATCAGATATTGTCCTTTGAGTAGCTCAAACCATGGCCAGGGCCCAGGCAAGTGTCCCAATTACTCTACTTGGCTCACTTGATTTGCTACCTCTGAGATCTTGGGTTTGATCCCCATATAGACATTTGGTCACATGGGTGACCTGTAGGGTCATAGGGAGACCCACAGGCACAAGCCTGCCCCTTCTCTTAAGGCAGCAGTGCCATTTCCATTGTTTGTACTCACCTTTGTGAGAATCACCAAGGGCTGACTTGAGAGAGAATCAGGCAATGCCCTTGCTCAGTCGCCAGTAGGAGCCTGTAATGGGGGTGAGCATAACCAGCAGCATGACTGGGAAGTCCCGTCCACTCTGGGAGGAAGCCAGGCCAATGAAGATAATATCAGATGAGGAGAAAAGGGCCCTGACGGTTGCTATTTCACTGGGCTGAGGGGAAGGATCATGTACCCTCCCAAAGTACAATGGATGTAGTGGAACCAGAATAGAATAATTCATGCCAATTGGATCATCAAACACTTTAAAATGTGCCTAGAAGAATGTTAGGTAGACACAAGGCAGGAAAGGTAGTGAATCTGGGACTAGACTCATAAGATGAAGCTTGAGGCTATCTCTTGCTGAGGTTTTCGTTTTTAAAATATTTTATTTATTTATTTAGTTTCAAAGAGGAAGGGAAGGAGAAAGAGAGGGAGAGAAACATGGATGTGTGAGAGACACGTCGATTAGTTGCCTCTCACACGCCCCCAACTGGGGACCTGGCCTGCAACCCAGGCATGTGCCCTGACCAGGAATCCAACTGGCAACCTTTTGGTTCACAGGCAGGTGCTCAATACACTGAGCCGCACCAGCCAGGGCTCTTGTTGAAGTTTTGTGAGACTGGGGCATCTAACCTCTGAGGGCACCTCATCAGAGGTCTCCTGGGTGAGAGAGTTCCACGGACTCCACTTAGGAACCTGTTGCTGTTTCAGCAGTAGCACTGTCTTGCATCCATCAGAGTTTCTGCCCTGGGTCCATATATACCAAGTGTCAGCCCCGGGAGTGTGATGGAGGGGTACCTTCTCTGCACTCTTCTTGACTCCATTCTGGTTGTCATAGCCATTAGTCTTTCAGGAGCAGCAGAAAGAGGGCCAGGGCCTAGCCCCAGGATTTCCCACCCTTCATGGTTGGCTGACTTCCAGCAAATACCATTTAGCCAGGAGGCAGAACACGGGCCACCCCGGAGGATTGGGGGAAGCTGGCATCTGAAGTGCGGTGTCCTCACTACTTCCTGGGAAGATTTGGGCATGAGAGTTAAGGACCTAACTCTCACTTAACCTTTCTGTATGCCAATCCCCCCACATCATGAATGGGGTTGTTCATAACCGCCCTGTAAGGCTGTTGTGAGAATCAAATGAAATCTGCCTGGGAGCACTGGGAAATTATATCTTTGCATAGACTTATCAGAATAGACTTTGATGCCAGTTGTAAAGGGATGTGCCATGGGAGATCTCTGTAGCCCTCTGAAGCTGCCTGGGCCGGAGCTGTGCATTTAGAATGGGGATGAGCAAAATCACAGCAGTCTAAGGAAGACGGGAAGCAAGTGACCCTGTCATTCTAACGATGTCTCTTGGAGACAGTAACAGGCCCAAGGGAATACTGACATTTCTTATGCCTTTATTCTCTTCGTGGTTTTTTTTTTTCCCTCCTTTTCTCTTGAGCCCAGAGAAATACCTTCCACTTTACACAGCCTCCTCCTCCATCACTTTCAGTTGGGAGCGCAGTGTGTGAGGATGCTACAACGTGATTTCTCTTTCTCACCTCCTCCCTCAGTCTAACCTTCTGCCATCGATGCCCCTTCGCTCTTTTGTGTCGTGTGGCCAAATCTTCGAGGCCTCTGTAGGAGAGACAGTATTTTTCCGGAAAGTGCTTCGGGGTGGATTTGAGGCTACTGACATGTCTTTGGTCCCTGAGTGGGAATGAATTATGCCTAGATGACCCCCTGGCAAAGCCAGCTGGCAGAAGTCAGAGATCGCTGGCCCTTGGGCAGGGTTTTGAGATTTCAGTATGCCCCCAATACCCCATGTGTCACATGCCTAATGACGCTTTTGACGATTCATTCCCCTACTAGAGCTGATGAAACATTTCTCACCTTCACCCTTTGCCCACCTTCTGTAACCATAACCTCCTCTTTCCCTGCTTCCTATGTCCCTGTTTCAGGGGTGGCCAGTGGAGTGGGAAGGGGTGAACTGATGACACTGTGAGAGAAGCTGAGAGAGGGTGAGGGAGAGCCACTTACCCTGGATGGCCAGGCACCCCGGGAGATTAGCAGATGTCCTGGAGCTGAGCTCACCATGAAGTCCTGTGGTTTTCCACTCCTAAGAACATTCTTGGGGTGCAGAGCTAGAAGAGAATAGAGAGGAAGGATTGGTTGTGCGATCAGTGCAGATTAAATAAGCAAAAAGCACTTGTTGCAGGTTTCCCAGAATTGAACTGCCACTTATAATCTGACCTTGCACAACTGGTTCACCCTAGGGTTCAGAGTGCTCTCCTCATCTGCTGCTGTAACCTCTACATGGGTGTGGCAGACCAGCAGGTGTGACCTTTGAAGCCAAAGAGACCTGGATTCTACCCCTTGCTCTGCCCTTTCCTACCGTGTGCTTGCTGGCAAGTCACTTAGCCCTTGTGGACCTCAGTTTCCTCTTCTCTAAAGTGGGATAATAAAAACACCCACCACAAGCATTGTTGTAAAGGTTCGATAAGGTAATGTAATGTAGAGCATGTGGTATGGAGTACCTGGAGTTGAGTGAATTGCTGCTGCTAATATCAGTTCTACAGCTACAATACTATTAGTACAATTGCTACTGCCTACTCTGTGAAGCCTGCTTTGACTTCCCTTTAAGTTAACTGCTCCTTCCTGTGTGGTCCTCCAGCCCTTGAGGCTCTGTTTAAAATCTGGACCTTATTGCAGTATTATTGTTGGCGTGCCTATCCCCTACCAGACTGTGCACTCTCCATGGGCAGGCTCTGAACTTTTCCAATGTTGTATTTTTTTAATGCCTAGAACATAGCAGGAGCTCAGCAAATATTTATAGAATGGAAAAATGAGCCTACGACCGAAACCTGTTTCTTCAAGCAGCCTAAGAAAGTTCCAGTGGACTTTTTACTTGTCCTCGTAAAGCCCCGCCCAGAGTCTCCCGGTTTGTAAACAGTATTTATTCAGTGGTTCCATTTGACCAGTGGTCACTCAGCACTTATAACCTGGCCAGCTCCCTGCAGAAGGGGCGCTTTCCCAGGCCCGACACTACCAGCTTAGGGCAGCGGACTCTTCTCTGGCCCACGAAGCCTTCGTTAGCCAGGCCTCCCTCCTCATTACCCAAAGCGAGCACCAAGCTCAGACCCCTGTTTATACTTGGTCTTTCTTTCCTCTCTACCATTTCTATGGCCTTGCCACTGCCATTCAGGGAGTATTTATGAAGCACCTACTGTATGCAGGGCACCAGAGCATACGTCTGAGCCCTTGGTCATATTCTGTCTTAATATGATTTGAGGTATGTAAATCAAGCTTCCCCAATAAGATTGTAAGCTCCTAGAGGGTGAGGGAGTGTATCTTCTGCTTCTTTTGTCTCCCTGACAGCACCTAAAACAGAACCCAGCACAGTCACGAACACATGGATAAATACTTAAGGACTTTACTTCTAGGCTCAAGAGTTCAGTGTGAGCTCTTCCTCCAGGGAAGGACGAGAACAAGGAGCATACAGCTCAGTCAGCAATGCGGTTTCAGTATATACCTATTCTCAGGGGGTCACACTCTGCGGGGGGTGGGGGGAGGACCAACGATCCCAGTACTCTTGTTCTCCTTTAGTCTCTTGATCAACACATAACCCCCCTCATCCCACTCGGCCACCTTCCAAAGGCTCTTCCCCTCAGCAACTGTGAATACTGAAGTGATAGCTAATCTGTGTATCTGTTTATTATTCTACTGATTTCCTGTCTTTGTCCCCTATGCATTCGGCCATGTCATTGTTACCTTTTACTGTGAATCTCTGAACAGCAGAGGCCTGGAATAGACTTCTTATCCCCAGGCAGCTCGGGAGCTTGAGAAATGCCTCTTGATGTTGACAACAATGAGGGACACTGCAGCGTGAGGGCCTGGACCCAGGAGATGAGCAGCAGTTGTATTGTAGGAGCTGTGCCTTTCTCCCTGAGGTCTGAGCTTTTGTTTGCCTTCCGTTTCAGGCCCACTTGCCTTTCGCTGTCATTGGCAGCACAGAAGAACTGAAGATAGGCAACAAGATGATGAAGGCGCGACAGTACCCTTGGGGCACCGTGCAGGGTGAGTGAGTTTCCAACAGAGAGGGAGGAGGGGGTCCCTTCTCTCTTTCTCATTGTTTGACCCCAGCCACTGTGCGACCATTCTCTAACTTGTCCCCAGTCTCTACTCTTTTGGCTTGGGCCTCAAACAGCCATAGGAGTTGCCAGCAGGCAGGCTGGTTCCTGGATTCTCTGCCATGACTAGGCTGTCTTTGTCTCCAATGGAAAAAACATTCCTGAAACAAAAGCAAATGTACCTGGAGCAAGATGGGAAGGAGTGTGCAAGAGAGAATGTGTACTTGCCTGAGTGCACCAGGAGACTTACAACAGTGTTCAAAGCGATGTTGCTCATAACAGTGAATAATTAGAAACAGCTCAGATGTCCGTTAAAAATAAATTGAATGAATTGTGAGATGTTCATATAATGAGATATTATGCCATAGTGATAATGAATGGGTTGTAGTTACATCTACATGAATGTATCTCAGAAACGATGAGCTAAATAAGTCAGAAGAATACATGTCATATGATTCCATTTACATGAATTTCAAAAGTAGACAGAACTAAACAAGATATATATCTTTCAAAATTCATATGTAAATAGTAAAACTATAAAGAAAAAACAAATGAATGATAAATCCAAAGCTCTTCTAAGGTGCTGGTAGTGTTCCACTGGAGCCATGAATATATTAGTGTTCATTTTTAAAAATTATTTAAATTGCACATTTCACACACTCTTTTGTATGCATGATTATTTCGCAATTTTAAAACAAACTTACTGTATATACAACCAAGAAAGTTCCCTATGTGGTCAACCTGTTGTGTATTAAATTAGTCTCATACGAGTCCATTCAGTGATAAAGCAAGGCCTAGGACTCTGCCGTGGGCGGAAGAGGTGCCTGGCCCTCCGAGCTGCAGCTGTCAGCTAGATCTGGGATCGCAGGGGCACCAGGTGTGTCAGGGAGGCTGCTTCACTGCAGACTCATCCCTGACGCTGAGCAAACAAGTGGAAGCAGGTGGGAAATTGTCCACATCTCGTCCAAAGGCCGGCATGCTTAGGGTACACCAGAGACCCTCCAGTGGTACTGGAATTTTCCCTGGACAAAAGAAGACTGGTTGTCAGAGTTGTGCTAGGTTTTGGTCTTCTCTGCTGTTTGGGGCTGGAGATGCTCCACTAGGAAAATTTGCAAATGGTTTCTGAACCAACAGTCTGACACAGGGAATGGATTTGTGGTCTGAGAGACAGGTACCTGAGGTGACATGAGGAGAAGCCAGCAGGTGTGGTTCTTCCAATGACTTCTTCCAACTTAGACCACCCCACACCTAACCAGGAAAGCAGTTTTTGAGCATTTTTTCTTGTAAGTCAGGGTTCACTGTTCTATTCGGGGAAGCTGTGTATTGTTTGGGCAGCCCATAGGGACATTAGGGTCACTTCTGAGTGATCACCAGGGATCACTGTCTGGAGGTGGAGGAAGACATGGTCCTGAAAAGTTGCCTGACTGAAGCAAGTTTTGGTATTAGCTAATGTTCTACAATGACATGAGGGTTTTCATCCCAAAGGCAATGGGCCTTAAGCAGAGGGGTTATGTAAGCTAAGTAGGGCTTTGGAAAGATTACTCTGCTGACTGCAAGGCAGTCAGCTGCAACTGCGCCCACCCTGTCATCCTGGATTCCCTCCCTGCCCCCACTACTTTCTCCTGCACCCTGCAAGACAGACTCTGGGGTGACTGTGCCCATTCATTATCTCAGACCTCACTGTCCCCACATGGTCAGGCTAGACACTCCCATTCTGACACAGTGGAGCTATGCTTGGAGACACGTGCCAGAGCTGCTCGCAACATTACGTTCCAACCGGAAGTCCACATTGCTATGATATGGTCCACATCTCTATCCTTCATAGCTACTGCCCCAAATGCAGACCTTTGCCACACTCTTTTGAGGAGGGGGCTTGTCCACTCAGGCTAGAAAGTGGGGTCCACTTCGTCCCGGTCACTATTGATGCTGTCAGGCCATTATCCACCCTCTAAAAAACACCTCCTTTGAAGCCTCTCCTGTCCAAATGGGCCATACCCCTCCTTGTCCCTGTCAGCTGTTGAGTTCTTAGTTCTTTCTCTTTAGCTTTTGGGGACTTTGACACCTGGTTATTTCCTTTGCCTCTGCTTTAGGTGACCAGGATTGGAATCCTAACCCTGCAACTTACTAGCTACGTAACCTTCCTTAACCTCGTTGAGACCTTGAAAAAGCTATTCCCTCCTCTGCCTGATAAATTCCTATTCTTCCTTCAAGAGTCATCTTAGTGGTTGTCTCTCTGGTGGAGTCTTCACTCTCCCATGAGTTCTTAGCTGCCCCCCTTCTGGGATTTCATTGCACCATTTCTATCTACCTTTATTTTTGTAATTTTTGTATTGTATTCATCTATTTGTAACTGTTCTTCCACTAAACTCCTGAGGACAAGACTCCATGACTTTGTTTCTGAATTCCCAGTGCCCCATACAATACTGGGAACAAAGATTCCACAAATATTTACTGGACAGGTGGCTGAATGTGCAGGTGCCATTGTCCTAAAAATGGCGCAGAGCAAACACTCCTATGAGTGTCTGATTGGTGAATTTGGGATGAGGTGCTACTGAATGTCTTGGTAGATTTCTCTTACGGTATTGTAGTTTTCAATTACCATGATTCATGTAACGTTTCATTTGCCTTATCAGTAGAAAAGCAAATCAGGAGGCAAATTTGCAAGGTCTATATACAGATTGAAAGGCGATGTTGCTGTAAGACATTCTGCCTCTCATTTCACCATTTCTGCTTCTTCTGGCCTTCCTTTCAACATACTTTCAATCCCCTAACCCCTGCTCTGCAGTTGAAAACGAGGCCCACTGCGACTTTGTGAAGCTGCGGGAGATGCTGATTCGGGTCAACATGGAGGACCTCCGGGAGCAGACCCACAGCCGGCACTATGAGCTGTACCGCCGCTGTAAGCTGGAGGAGATGGGCTTCAAGGACACTGACCCCGACAGCAAACCCTTCAGGTATCTCTCACACCAGCTCAGCCCAACCTAGTCCAGCCAACCCAGGGTATGTGGGAGCTTTACCCTGGAGCATCCATACGGGATTAAGACACAGGTGCTGAGACCAAGAGCAGCAGGACTCAGTCACTTGCCAGCCTCACCTGCCAGCTCCTCTCTGCCTCCCTGGGGGAACTGTGGCCAGATGGGCTTGGTAAGCGCTGGCCCGGGAGGAGGCCCAGAGGCCCAACAAGGTCGGTGATCTCACTGCTACAGATGTGTACACACAGCAGCTGCAGCCAGCTCTACCCAAGGGGGGCCCTGAGCTGGGCCCTTCTTCTCCAATGCGACAGTTTGTGCCTGGCCCATGCCCCACTTTCTTCATCAAGCTCCTGCTGCTCTGTCGGGTATCCAGTGGGTTTTTTACCCTGCTGCCCATTATCAAAACTAGATGGGATCAGGCAGCAACGTTGTACATATATTGATGAACTTTAGGCTCTTCATTCACTGTCAAGTGCAAGTTTTGTTTTGACCAGAGGATGTTAATAATCATTGACATACTTCTCTTTTTCATACTTTTTTATTAATAAATTAATTACTTTTTTCAAATACATTTGTCTCTGCCTTCCCCCCACCACTTTCCCCTGCCCCCCTCCTCCCTCTCTCTATTTCATACTTCTTAAATCAGAATCTAAGAACCTTCCAGAGAAGAGAAATATTTTTGAAAGTAGTTTACTCTGCTTAATAGGAGCAATGTGTGAAGTATAAGTGTCTGATCTACATGCATGATACCTGATATAAGTCCCGCATTTGAAGTGACCATGTGGTGCCCTTTACCGGGGCTTGGTCTCCTTTCATGAAATGTCAGGCCTTGATAAGCAAGTGACGGGGAGGCTGTCAGATGGCCTTTGAGATCCACAGTACCTGCTCACTGTGGAAACTGGCCTAGGGGTAAAGCACAGCCAGTCCTTCAGGGTTCCCTCATTCCAGAGGAGCAGACTCGGTTCCTTTCATGGACAGGGGCCACTGGAGCTCCTGGGATTGGAGGAAGGCGTGCATCTCTCTGTTGGGTGCTTCCTTAGTTTTCTCTGTCTTTCCTCTTTACCAGCTTTAATCTGCATCTGTGGGAAAAAAAGGTGTGCTTCTATCTGTTTTTCTAGTCCCCTCCCCTCCTCCTTTGCTCCATCCTGTTACCTATGTCTTCACCCTCTGCTGGCCCATGTTGCATGCAAATATTCTCACTCTAAAGAAAGTCACCCTTAACTGCTTCTCCTCACCAGCCTGTGCACTGTCAAGAGATTCGGCTCTGACAGGAAGGAGAAAGAGTTGCTCTGCATTTATTGGCTTCTGACCCCACCATGCCACTGAAATGCCTCCCTCCAAGGTCAGCAATCACACACTCCTGGCCAATTACAGTGTGGCCTCTAAGTCCCATCTTTGAAAAAAATTTTTTTTTTAATCTCAGTATTTGATACTCCTCCTTGTTGCCTCCTTCCTGAAGCTCTCTCTGCCTTTGGCTTTTCTACCACTGGTTTGGCTCGTTTTAGTCCCCTCTCTCTTGCTACTCCTTCTCAGCTTCCTTGGCAGGCTCATTTTCTTCAGCTTACTCTTTTAAATGTTGTGCCCCAGGATTCTTTTCCTATGGTCTCTTCTCCTTTCACTCTCTATTCTCTTTGCACCTGGTTATTTCCCTTCTCACAGCCCTAATTATTACCTAGAAATAGATGAATCCCAAGCTAAAATCTTATGTTTGAGCTCCAAGCCCACTGATCTAACTATATACCGGATGTTTCCACTCAGACATTCCATAGGTGATGCACTTGAAACTCAGGTTGTCTAAAAGTTAAGTCACCTTCTTCTGTCTTAACCATACTTCTTCTCCAGTGCTCCCTGTCACAGCTCATGGTACCACCATTCATTCACCTGGTTGCCTGAGCCAAAAACCTGGAATAATCTTTGAGTCTTCCTAAGTCCTGGAAGTTCTATTCTCTTACTGTTCCTCCAGGTACCTCAGGTCCCCTATTCCTTACCGGCTCTTAACATTAAAATCTTATCATTTCTTACTTGGATTGTTGGGAAGCCTGTCCTTTATGCAACAACCAGAATGGTCTTCTCATTTTTAAATTAGATCAAGTTGGTCCTGCTTAAAACCTTACCATGGATAAATGTCCAACTCTCATATGGCACCCAACGTCTGCTTTCTCTTACCAGACTCAGGGACTTCATATCCTACCACTCCACAGCTTACTCCAGCCGTGTTGGACTGTGCTTGGCCCCCTGAGTATGCTAGTCTCTCTCCACATGTGCTTTTCCACATGCTGCTCTCTTTGGAGCACAGTTCCTCCCCTTTTTCTCCAGGCTAACTCCTATTTGTTTAGGACCAAGTCCAGGCTGGGGGAAAGGAGACTTAGCCTAGGCATCTCCCACTAAACTGTGAGTTCCTTGATGGCAGGCACAGTGGCTGTTGGCTGTAGATGTTGAGTGACTAGCATTAGTATCACTCGGTCCTGTGTCTAGCACCTGGTGGAGTCTCATCAAGAGTTTATAACAATAGTTCATTAATGTGGTCCATTTCAGAGCCAGGACCTAGCAGCAGAGTAGAGTAGGGAGATCCAAAGTAGAAGACAAAACATGCAGTTTCTGGTCCCAGCTCTGCCTCTAACTAGCTGTGTGGTCTTGAGCAAGTCACCTCACCTCTCTGGGCCTGTTTGGTCACCTCTAAAACAAGAGCATAGAAGCAGATGTTCTAAGTCACTCCCAGTTCTAAATATCTCTCCAGGTCCCCAGGGCTGCCCCATCACCCTCAAGCAGCCTTGCGATTCTGCTGTCACATGCTGAGCCAGCTGCCCACAGCTCTGTGGTACTGTTTTTGCACCTCTCCCAAAATCAGGGGAAGGTGGGTAGGGAACCCCAGCGAGGATCGGTTTTCATCCACTAGGAGCCATTCCAAAGGCAGGGGAATTAACCTGACCATGTTTGCAGTTTACAGGAGACATATGAGGCCAAAAGGAACGAGTTCCTAGGAGAGCTCCAGAAAAAAGAAGAGGAGATGAGACAGATGTTCGTCCAGAGAGTCAAAGAGAAAGAAGCTGAACTGAAAGAGGCAGAGAAAGAGGTAAACGTGAGCTTAGGTGTTAGGCGGGAAGGGAAAATAGGCTGAGCTTGGGCCTGGCAGGGGCTTCTGCCCTGAGAGCAGAGCCAACCAGAGCTTTGCAGCCTCATAGCAAGAGTGGGGCACAGCATGTGTAGCCCCGCCTCTGCTGGCACAGAGGGAGCTGTGGGAGATCTGTGTTTCCTTGGTTCCTCATTCACCAAAGCCAGGATGTTTCCTCATTCTGTTACTTACTCTCCAGAGCGGCACTGTCCATCTGGTAGCCACTAGCCACATGTGGCTATTTAAATGGAAATTAATTAAAATTAAATAAAGTTTAAAACTCAGCTCCTCAGTTTCGTTAGCCACATTTCAAATGCTCAATCCTCATGTGACTAGTGGCTCTCATATTGGATAGCACAGATACAGAACATTTCCGTTGCCACAGAAACTTCAGTTGGGCAGCACTGCTCGAGTCAAGACCTCACATAGCCTCTTGGGGACAGGTGTGAACTGATTCTTTTCTCTCTTCCTGGGACTTCGGAGCTCAGTAGAGACAGTTGATGACTTCCTTGACTGTCCTGCCCCATCCCAACTGCTCTGATGGCCACGGGGAAAGATGGTTCCAGGCAGTCCTGGGTACCTTGTTGAAACCTCAAACAGTAACAGCTGGCGCACTTCCCTAGTCATTTGGGTGTTCTGTTCCATTTCATGGTGGCATTAAAGAAACATCTGTGTGGCTCTAGTGAGTTTTTAAACTAAAGTTTGATGGTCCCTCTGGGGTTTTCATTACTTAAGCCACGCCTAATAGATTACAGTTGGTCCTCCAACTGTTGCCTTGCATTTCAGGTCCCCCTACCACTTCGCCCAGTGCTGCCCAATGAAGTGGCCTCAACTACAGGTTGGGTCACTTCAACAGCTACTTCCCTTCTCTGGGCCTTGAGAGCCCTGATGAAGGGACGCACGCACTTACTTCCCAAGTTTCTTTCCCCGTAATTTGCTGTGACTCTCTATGGTTATCACCAATCCCCGAGGACAAGGGTATTGATTTTATTTCAGTATCACTTCTCCAAAAAAAAAAAAGTCACCTAGGACTTTAAGGAGGAGAAGTAAGGGGAGCTTGAAGAGAAATGAATGAAAAGCCAATGGACAAAAGCCAGGTTAAGGCAACTGATTGGCAGAGCTTCCACACCTCTACCACAAGTGACTAGTCAAAGCTGGTTTACGCTGCAAGCTTGTTATCCATCACCCCTTACTAAGTGACAGACAGTCCCAAATACCTCTAGGACCCAGAGACTTGGCTTCCTTCATGGTGCGCTGAAAGCGCTATAGAATCCTAAATTCTTTTTGAGCATTCTGTCCCAAATGCTCAAAAAAAAAAAAAGTGAAATTATGTTTGGTCTGCTCTTATTATTCAGGGTAGTTTATCTCATTCTCCTTTGTTACCACCGTACCTCTTTTTTTTTTAAGAGATTTTATTTATTTATTGTTAGAGAGAGGGGGAGGGAGAGAGAAAGAGACAGAGAGAGAGAAAGAGAAACATTGATCGGTTATCTCTCATACATGTCCCAGCCGGAGACCAAACCCACAACCCAGGCATGTGTCCTGACCAGGAATCAAATGAGCAACATTTCACTTTGGGTCATGCCCAACTACCTGAGCCACACCAGTCAGGGCATCACCTATACCTTTCGATCCACTTACCACAGTGGCATGCCAGAATATTCTTTCTGGTCTCTGGCTCTATTCAGGGCTAATTAAATCTCCTCTTGGTCAAGGCTGAGGTCTTCACACTCATTCCATTTTGTAAAACTTAAAAAAAAACCCTCCTTCCATGCCCAAGAACAAATATTTCCTTTGACCAGCTTTGGCATTGCCGAAGTTTGCTCTGTGATCCATGGTGACCCTCTCTGACTGGAGGGGATGAAAAACGCCAGGGGCCCCTGACATGTTGAGAGATCTCACTATATAATACTCTATAGAATGGATGGATCTTGGTTGGGCAAATTCCTTAACTTACCTCACCTTCTGTTTCCTCATAGAATGCAGATAACAAAAGAACCTACCTCGCAGAAATTAAATGAGTGGATACATATAAAACTCTTAACAAAAGTCAGTGCCCGGCCTGCAATAAGCACTCAGTAAATGTTATACTATTATAATTGATATTATTACTAACCATGTGGTAACTCTTTTATTTTTTTGTCCTCATCCAAGGACATTCTTATTGATTTTTAGAGGGAAAAGTAGGAAGACAGGTAGAGAAACACTGATGTGATAAGAGATACATTGGTCGGTTGCCCCTCGCACATGCCCCAACCAGCAACTGAACCCACAATCCAGGCATGTGCCCTGGGTGGGAATCGAACCCGTGACCTTTTGATTTATGGGACGATGCTCCAATCGACTGAGCTACACTGGCCAGGGTCAGTGTGGTAACTCTTAAACAAAATATTTGATTAAGCAGAATGCATGGTTCCTTGACTATATTTAGGAGCAGAAACTTGGAGGTAAAATGGTAAGAGAAAGGGACTATCCAGAACACGGTGCTTTGTGGTGCCATCATATCTGTCTGTAGCAGAAAGGTCTCTTACAGTCTCGGGGTCCTGCAGAGTTGTAACCCTGCCAGTGCCCAGTCGCCCTGGGCTCGGCTCAGCTGGGATTTTCTTACAGGGGACTCCCCCAAACTCCCTGTGCTTTCTTGCCAGCTACACGAGAAGTTTGACCGTCTGAAGAAACTACACCAGGATGAGAAGAAGAAGCTGGAGGATAAGAAGAAATCTCTGGATGATGAAGTGAATGCTTTCAAACAGAGGAAGACAGCGGCTGAGCTGCTCCAGTCCCAGGGATCTCAGGCTGGAGGCTCACAGACTCTGAAAAGGGACAAAGAGAAGAAAAAGTAAGTGGAGGGCTGCTCTGGAGTGGTAGCTTCTTTCTTCTCCTGCTCAACCCCTCGGGGTGGGACCTGGAGGCTGAGGGGGGCTGCGGGATGGTGAGCAGAGGGGAGCTGTGGACTTAGACCAGTTTGGGCATCTATAACTGGTCTCAGTGTCCCCGAGGGACCTTTGGATTCCCTGAATTTGGGGAACTGAGAGAAAGTCCCAGGGGCTCAGGCCCTCCATTTGGCCTGCTTAGAAAAGTCCTGCAAACTCAGGTAGGAAGAGAGGGAGGGAAAGGAGAGGAAAAGCTAAAAGAATGTGAGAGAGTAGAAAGAAGGGAGGCAACAATGAGCACTGCAAAGTTATAAGAAAGAGATGAACAAAAGGGGGCACATAGAGGATAGTGGGAGAGAGAGCCTTTGCAGAAACCTTCGGGCACACTCTTTCTCCCTGAGAGGTCGAAGCCAATTGGGCTTGAGCATCCTATACCTGAGGTGGTCACCTCTCCGTGCCTGTAGACCAACCCTCTCTCTGCCTCAGTTCTCACCCGCTGCAGCCAGCAGAGTTTCACTGCTGCCGCTGAAGACTTTAGCCCAGTTCCAATTACTCACCCCTTTGCTGTCTGTCCTCTTAACTGCATAGTTGTCCCTGGCATGGGGTACTGAGAATTTGGTGGGGAACCCTCAGAGGCTGGTATATTCCGGGTGCCCCATCCTCAACCTGGGGAATGATTTTATTTATTTTATTTTATAATTTGTTTTTTTTTAAATTTTTTTGTGGGGGAATGATTTTACAATCTATCTCTCTCCTTAGGTATTTGGTAAGGCAGGATAGCGTGGGCTCCTGATCCCCATGTGGGCCAATTATCCTGACCCAACCTATTCCTCATCCCAGAACCAGAGAAGAGAAAAGCATTTCTGATGGAACCTATACAACAGCAGGAAAAGACCCAGTGGTTCCTTGTGCTCCGTAGTTGTGCAGTGTGACTTGGGAAGCCCCCAGATGGGGTGTTAGGCAATGTCCTTATTAAAGGGGCTTGGGGATCTGAAAGATGTCCATAGTCATTGTCCTCTGTTCTTAGCTACTTGTTCCTGACTCAAATGGATATTTGGCAAAAGAAGGAAACATCTTCCTTTCCTCTGTGCCTGGCTTATCACTTAGGAATAAAAGTGACTTTTGTACAGTATTAAAATATTTTATATTTGAAGGCACTCAGTTTTGCAATCTGATTATTCTTTATTCAAAAGTATAATTTGAACATTTTCACCAATTAGTCTAGACATTTTTGTTACTGAATCATAACAATATATGTCAAATTTGCTGACTAATTAACTCTTTTTGGTATTATTTGATGGATAAACTTTCAACTAGCTGGGAAAAACACCTCTTTGGAAACACTGTGTATTAACTGATCTGTCCTAGTGTGTTAGTTGTGCCAGCAGGCATGGATATTCCTATTTTTAAGATCAGAAAAGTCTAAATTTGTCTTCCAGCTCTAACCTGCTGCTTTCATAGCCCTGTGGTATTTGTTAACTCAATCCCTGGGGTAGTTTCACAGCCTGTTTGCAGAAATTAGAAGATTCATTTGTTCGGATCCCACTGACAGACATTCAACTATAAATATTCTCTATTCCGCTGTTAATAGAAGTTTCTCCCAGACCAGGTTTTTCCCTAGTTGCCTCAAATTACTTGATGCCCTCCCACCCCGCCAACCCCAGGCAGAAGACCCTCTCTACAGTCTCCAGGAATATTTGGGGCTGGTGACGGTACCCTTTTCCAATTCTGAGTGGGTGAAAACCTTACTAACATATGGCACATCGTATTAGGAATAAGGACCTGACAAAAAGGCTCTCTTCTTTCACACTTCCAGATATATAACTGCCCCTAGACCTAGGCTTCTTGTATAATTCCTTAAACAGTTAGCTAACTTCTAAAAGACCTATTATGAGACCTGTGTCACTCTGTTCCCATAGTGATGATGGCGGTGGTGGGATATAAGGGTAGAAGTGGTGATAGTGGCATTTCCAATTGAAAGATGGTGGTTGGATATAATAGAGTCACATATTTAGAACTTCCTTTGCCTGCCTTTGAGGAAGTTAAGAAAGAGTACCTGTATTTCAGGGGTCCCTAAAGCCTGCCCCCCCCACTTCCCCTCCTACTCCTCCTAACCTCCTTTGACCTCTAACTCTTCATTGTTTGTGTGAACTCGTAATATTTGATTTCTCAAGTTCACTCCATCTTCATCAGCTCTTACTGTTTTACAGTTAACTCTGCTGTTTGCTGCATGCTGCATGAGACCCAGGGTCCTGGTAAGCTTTATTAACTCTAAATAGAACTGGCAGTGGCTTCTAGAACACATCTCCCCAAATCCCACCCCTTCTCAACACACATATCTAATCACAAAAGAAGCTGCTTCATTGTCCTAACTGGTTTCCTCTTGTGACTTAGAATATTAAGAAATAGTCTGATGTGGTTTCAAGTGTACATGTGGAATGTTTGCCTGCCTGGTTAAAGTGGGGTGTTTTCAGACTTTTGCTGATAGAATAGCTGGGTAGCATAGGTGGATCGATATTTGAGGTTCAATTTTGGTCATTTTTTTTTTCTTAAAGAGCCTTAATCATTACTTTGAAAATTAACTAGACTGTAATGAGGAGGGAAGTTGTTGGGTTTAGCAAGCCCTGTCCTGCAATTGTCACAGTGGCATTGCCCCCAGGTTTGGGAATGTTCTGAGCTAACAGAAACTTGCTTGTCTGTTTCCCTCTGTGGCAATTTCTTACCCAAAGGGTTCAAGTTCTCAAATTTCCTTTGGCTCTGTAACCCCCCAAAACCATAGAGAAAGTTGAAGAAACTAAGAGCTCTTAGATATTATAGAGTTCCTTACATTTAATTCTACAAGTACTAGTTTCATGAACACCTGCCTTTGGTAAGATGGATTCCTTAGGGCTACATATTGATTGTATCGATTGAAGAGAATAAAACTCCCTAGCATCATGTAATTTATATGGTGATTATAGCAATGATTAAGCACCTATCTGTTCTACTAGACTCAGGTAGTAGATGAGGAGGGAACATAACTATGTTTAATTTAACACAATTAGGCTTATTACTATTTTTGAAACTTTCAAACAGGAACAAAAGGAGAGGGAGGATAGCAGAGTCCAGCCTCAGTTACCTGCAAACCAGCCCCCAAACAGCTGTCAACACAAGACTAATCCTGTTTCATCTATTAACCCAAACCTACTAGATTATTAGAAAGCAAAACTAAACATTATTTCATTTGTAAATACATTAGCATGCGTCTTTAAGAGGTACTGACTTTCTCCAAAAAACAGCCCTGGCTGGTATGGCTTAGTGGATTGAGAACCGGCCCATGAACAAAAAGGTCCCTGATTTGATTCCCAGTCAGGGTACATGGGTGTGTTGCAGACCAGGACCCCAGTTGGGGGTGTGCGAGAGGCAACCAATCGATGTATCTGTCACGCATCAATTTTTCTCTCCTTCTTTTTCCTCACTTCCCCTCGCTAAAAGTAAATAAATAAAATCTTAAAAGTACATAGCCACAATACCACCTACAAAATTAACAATTCATTAACATAAAATTCCTAGTCAGTGGTCAGAATACCCCATTTGTCTCATAAAATGCCTTCACATTTGGTTTGTTTGGATGGGAGAATATAAAATATTTAGGGCTTCTCCCCACTCACCAATGCAAGTTATGATTTAAATGGAGAGCCTACTGTTCATCACCAAACCAATAGCTGCAGTTGTTGCACTGGGGGTTTTGGGCAGCTGGCAAAACATCCTATTTTCGAGGAAGTCCATAGAGGCATCTGAAACATAAAGTCCATGATATTGGGCCACAGGAAACAACCCTAAAAGAACAATGAAAAGATTTATTGTCTAGCTTAAGGACAACTCTTTAGAGCCCCTGTTAGTTGACTGGAATTAAACAGCAGATTTCCATTCAGGAAGACTGTCACTTCCTAGACTGTCCTCTGCTGTGGTCCCAATGCCTTGCAAAGTGGCTGAAACCTGTAGAATCTCAGTTCATGTGTATCCTCGTCGTTCCCCCATTATAATGAGGAAAGTAGAAGAGATGTATTCTGGTAAGTTAGATCTCAGTTAATGAAACTGAATTAATGTGGTTTGACACAATTTGGTTCACATTTCCCTGAGTGAGTCATTGTTAGTGGCCATTACTAAAGTGAATTCTGGCAAAACTATAATTCAAGCCTTACCGTATAAGTGAGAGGCAATTAGCACACAGCATGAACAGCCAACCTCAACCCAAGCAGGTTGATTTTTTTCCTGGCAGGCTTCTCCCCAGAAGACCACAAAAGCAGTTCTAAACCAAATAGGGGAGATAGGCCTTGGCTCTCTGGGACCCAAAAGCAGCAAAGGCAGCTTGTTCCCTCCCCAGAGCCCTCATTCCTGGGATGGATTACAAAGGCCACCTCTCATTGAGTAGGGTGAAGCTTACTGTTTGTTACTGGTCTTCAAATTGCTTGAGACCCTACTTGTGGCCGTGTGAAACTGTAAGACAAAGAATTCTTCTGTGACCGGTACACAGTTGTAGATACCATATCTCAGTGGTTCCTGGCTCTTGACTCTTGGGGGGTGCACAGTATATGAAAGAGTGTACACGTATCAAAATATATCAACCTTCCTTTGAAGCCCAGAATATAGACTATTGCAGTATTGTTTGTTTCCCTTCCTCTAGCAAGTAGACAAAAAATAAAGCGATGAGTATTCATATAACATCCTAATACTTTTCAGAGTGTTTTTTCTTATGGTGTCTCACTTTTGCCTTGCAACGGTCCTGTGAAGTAAGGAAGGAATAACCTTCAGGTGACACTGAGTACATGGAGGAGTGGGAAATTTAAGAGACTTAATCAAGGATCACACAGTGAGTTAGTGGCAGAACTGGAACAACAATGTAGAACTCCTATTCTTTTTTAAAAAATATTTTATTTATTTTTAGACGTGAAGGAAGGGAGAAAGAGAGGGAGAGAAACATTGATGTGTGGCTGCCTTTCTCACGCCCCCTACTGGGGACCTGGCCCGCAACCCAGGCATGTGTCCTGATGGGAATGGAACCAGCAACCTCAATCCACTGAGCCACGCTAGCCAGGGCAGAACTCCTATTCTTGGTATAAATTGCCATTCGTGTGAGTGTGTGTGTGTGTGTGTGTGCGTGCGTGTGCGTGTGCGTGTAGATGGATGTACTCACTCTGAGAAAGTAACTGTACAAACATACTCACATATGCATATGCTTTTAACTATCCCTCCCAAATATATAATAGTCTTTCTTTAATGAGATAAATGTATTTTTCAGGTAAAAAAAACAGGGACTTAGATCCACAGCCAAGGCATTCTCAGGGACACTGTGGTATGATTAAACAGCCAAGGGATTCAGGCTCTGATTCTGGTTGTATCTTTTTCTTTGTGATCTGGGCAAGACAGTTGAGTTCCCTGTGTTTCTCGAATCCTCATATATCAAGTAGGGATGGATATTACTTGCCCAGCCTGTGTCACAAGGATGAAATTTAAATGAAAGAAAGGTCAAAGTACCGTGTCAACACAAACTAGTAATGGATTTCCAGTAGTTCAGATTTTCAGGTAACTGTGGTCTGAACCAGACACCTCACAAACAGCTGTTGCCACAATGTACTATGTAGCGGATTAGGACTGCTTTTGCCCCAGGGTACCTGTTTAGCTGACGGGAGGGGGGGGAGCGGGGGGGGGGGACCTGTTCCAAAGGCTACCTGAGGTGAAACCTTAACCTCCTTTGCCTTCCCTGTGCGACAAGGCAATCCATAGCTGAGAGCCTGGTGCTCTATCCAGTGGCCTGAGACCACCTGGAGATTTGCTGAAGGTATTCCTGTGTAAGGTGTCTAGAGGGGGGCATTAGTCAGGACCTAGCAATTAAGGTAAGAGAGAGTATTCTTGAGACTGTTGATAATTATTTTGCTCCTTAACCCCACTACTGCTGCCACAAGCAAGAAAGCATGTTCCCAGGAGCCAATGCAATATAGGACCTTAAGACCATCTAACATAGCTATATATTCTGGTTGACCCATTAGTCATTATGACAGAGTTTTCTTCTAACCTGTTTTTTTGTCCATTAATCCATCCATTCATTAACCCAGCTTCTCTTTTTTATTTTCAGTTTGGGCTTCCGGTAAACGCCCTTTTCCTGCACAACAGACCTGGGCCTCCCTTTCCTTAATTACCCCTTAACATGAGTCAGAGCACACAACCCATGCCCCTCACTCTCCTCCCGCCAAAGTTCACAGAAGCCTGAGAGTCTGAGGACGGTGGTCTGGCTTCTGGCCCAGAAGCCAGCAGTCACGTGGCTCAGAGATGCATCATGCATCATGCATCCCACTTCCCCTCCTAGCGGCTGCCCCTAGCCACTCCCCGTCTCCTTCTTTGCCAGACTGTAACATGTTCAGGGGTCCCATCTGCTACTGCCCACCACCAGTTTCCTTGTTCGAACTCTAATGGCTGCTCGCCTCCCTGAGGTATTTGCATCCACTGTGGCTGGGTAAGCACCAGGCAACAAGGCTTTCCCCCTCAGTGCCTAGTCACTAGGCTTCCCTGATCATCCGCCACTGCCTAGCCGAGCCACAGCTTCTTCTCAGAGGGCTCCAGGAGGAGATCCTTTGGTGCCTTTTCCTTTAGGCCTCTCAGCCCAGTCCTTTCCAGTTTTGATTTCACTCAAAGTACCTGTACTCAAGCTGTGTATAAAATCCAGAATAAGTTTATCTACAACAAGCCCCTCCCAGAAAACCTGACTGCCGAAGAAAATAGCATAAATTCCCTCTCTCTATAATTCTGGGTACCCCACAGATGCAGAAGGGGAAATAAACCTGAATGTTATTACCGGCCTAGTGTCTTGAATGATAGGTTTAAAGAATTCTTGTGAGGTGTCTCAGCATCTCCTCTGTAATCTCCCTTAGGGCTCCCCACCATCCCCCAAAGGCAGGGTCAGTTAGCAGGTATAATAACCCCATGTCATAAACGGCCAAAGTGAGTGATCAAAGAATCAGTGTTTTTAGTTTTTCTGTGATGAGTCTTTCAGTCTATTTATTTGGGCAGTGTGATGATGAATTTAATCTGTATTTTGCATGTGCTCTCCCAATAAGAAGTGAGATTATCAACAGGAGAGGAAGAGTGTTATTCCTCGGAAGGCCCCTAACTTTATCTCCAGTCTAAGGATTTGACTCATTAATATTCCAGTCCTAATTTTGATAATGGCTTTGGGAAACCCTTTGAAGTAGAGAGCCCTCCATTGTCAAGCACAGTGGCCTTCGGTGTTTGGCCAGTGAGAGAGTTTGGAGGTGAGCTGGCAATAATCTGTGGCTAACACGCCCTTTCTCTGCCCTTCCTTTGCAGTAATCCATGGCTGTGTACTGAATAGTATCCCCCGCTACAGCTGGACTGGACTCCATTTAGCCTTTTAAGCCAAGGTTCCTATTTGAACTGACAGCTTTCCTTCGGGGTGCCAGGAAGCTGGGTCCCCTGCCCCTGCCATGTACTTCCACTTCAAACCCCACCTCTTCTTTTGAGTTCTCTTTCCCAGTCTCAGTGGCACTGACCATGAACTTCTTTTTAACTTTTTGAAGGTTTTTTTTTTTGTTAATTTCTTTCAAAACGCAGTCTATCGAGGCTATGCCAAATATTCAGGCTTTTTTGAAGTGTTGACAATGGGAAGAAGTTTCTCTCTTCAATAATGGATAACAACAGGAAGTGAAAAGTAGAGAAAATGAAAACCAAACATGCACACCCTTGATCTTTTCTTGTTGGTAGAGCAAGAGCAGTCTCTGATTTGTTAGCGGCCAGAGGCAAGTATGACGGGTTTTCTGCCAAAGCTTAAGCTAGTTTCTTATCCAAGTCTCATAGTGGAGCATTTAGCAGACCCTATGCCTTGCAGGGGTTTTTTTTCTTTCCTTTTTAAAAACAAACTTGGACACTCGTCCAGTAGCTCAGAGAGATGCTAAATTAGGGCTGTCAAGTCCTCTAGGGAAAGGCATCTTATTTACAGCTTTGATGTTTCCAGGTCCAGTTTCACAGCTGCTTCCCACAAATCCTAAACTTAAAACAACCAACTGGTCTTCTTCCCTCTGGGTAATTATTTGCATCACAAATAGAGCCCCCTTATTTGCATTTGTTTACAGATTAAGTACTTGAGGCTTGAGGAGCTCTGAAAACGTCAAGTTTTAGAGCTATGCAGCCTTTGAGAGGCCTTCAGAGTCTAGGCAGGAATTTTGTATTAAGGGAGAAATTTTGGCCCACAAGATAGACGTGACCCATTTTTTTTGTAAGAGAAAATGGAAGCCCAGAGAAGTGAAGGGACTTGCCAGAGGTCCCATTGCTGTTTTGTGGCAAAAGCCAGGCCAAACTCAGTGTCTCCTGGCTCCCGATCCATTTCATTAAGGGATTCAGACTGTTCGTGTGTGTTCCTGGAGACAAGGTCTTTTGATGCTCAGAGAACCTGAAGAGTTAGTATTAGAGGGCCTCTTAGATTTTTCCCCATAGAAAAATATCCAAGGATGAGTGGGTAGGGGCGGGCCAAGCAGAAGGCTCCAGACCAGCTCCTGAACTAAGTGCTTCTGCTGACAGTAGGGATCGCCAGCACCCATTAGCTGGTCCGCTTTCCTGGAAGTCTGGAATGGGGGCCAGGCACACATTTGTTTAACAGGTACCCTAGACGATCCTTTTAATCAAGGAAGTTTGGTAAACGAAAATCTAACCTGTGAGTGAGCGTAAGGCCTTTAGGAAGTCAATCCACACTAAGAAAATAAAATTATTATATTGGGTAGTTTTTCTATTTTATTACATCTATTATGGGGTGACATTGGTTAATGGTAGTTTTCTCACTGTAGACAGGTTTGTTTTTTTTTCCTTCAGTGAAAAGACTTTCTAATGAGTACAATTGTTGCTATTTTTTTAAAAAAAAAAATACCCTAACTACTCTGTTTACTTCTGGTGAAACAAAACCAGTCATTAGAAATGGTCTGTGCTTTTATTTTTCCAGACTGGAATGGAATGGATTTCCTGAAAAATCCCCACGTGTACACACACACACACACACACACACACACACACACACACACACCCCTAGTTTCTCTTAAGCTGAGTAGTTTGCTTTTCCTAGCTGCAGTGCAGATCACTTTTGTTTTTGTTTTCCTGTTTTAATCATCTGGCATTCCCATGTGGCTGTTAATATGTGCTTGTTTTTAATTAAAACAAGAAGCTTTAAACCGGTGTGTGGTGTTCTTAAAACCTTCTCAGCATATTTCCCGGTGGTGATGGACCATCAGTGACCCCATTTCTAACCTGTCTTCTGCAAGTATAATCTGTTCTACCTCACACTGCCCCCTCCCGTCGCCCTGTCTTACTTTGAATGTTCTTTATCTTTAGCTAATTTCATGTTTTCTTTCTCTTTCTCTCTCCCTCTCCAGCTTTTTTTAATCTTGTCTTCAGCAGCTGCATTAAGTCTAAAGGAGAAGACTGCCATTATAGAAGAGTTAGGGTTCCACATTGTTTCAAACCAGAAACCAACCAATTCCCTCTTCCCCCCAACCTGAGCGCGTGCATGTGCGCGCGCGCGCACACACACACACACAACACACACACACAACACACTCAGCAAGTGTTCAATGTCCCTGTGTCCAGGCAAGAAGCTCTCTCCTGATTTACATGGTATTTTAAATGGAAGTATCTTGTCCTAACCTAACAAGGCAGGAAAAGAACCATCAGAGCTGGAGAATGGACCAAGTGTAACCTCAGAGAGACAACTACAGGACAGCTCACCCAAGTGTAAGTGACTGGGGCAGGACACCTCAGCTGTGGGTGTGGAAGTGCTGTTCACAGGTTTTCGGTTGAGTTTTTGGTTTTTCTTCTTAAACACGAATTCTCCAGTTCAGTGGGTTGACTGTCTACAGCCACTATTAGACATTTCTGAATATGGAAGGGGAAGTCAAGCAACATCTGTATCTTCTTCAGCATTCGCAGGCCTCCTGCAGACTCCTAGCAAGGCTGAAAATGGATCCACTGACAGTGGGGAAAGGAAAGGTGGGAGGGGGTTAAGTTTCGTGAGAGAGCAGTTAATCCATTCAACCTTCTAAAGCTAGTTGGGGTTTTCAGAGAGATTTCTGCTCAACCTGGGATCTGGCTGCAGAGCTTTGATGTTGATAAATCTGCCTTGAATTCATTGGTTTAACTTACACCAAAATACCATGTGAGTGTGCTCATTCCTGTATATCCTTAAAACCATTGCCATCCCACTGTCCGGTGTCTCTTGAGAGAGCCTCTTTGCATGTTTTCCGGAATCTGTGTGTGTCTTTCCTTTCTTCTCCTTTATTCTTTTTGCTCAAACGTGTGACCATTCACTGCCCCTCTAGGGCTTCCATTCGCCAGGAGAAACATCCCAAAGCCAGCACTGTTCAGCTTGATACCTTTCTAATGTCCATGCGAATTTTCAATAAAATTCAAAGAAATGCTCAATGGCTGTGTGATCTGATCTTAAACCATTAGGTGATACGACCCATCACGGTTTGCCTTAGGAGTGGGTGGCTGCCTTCCAACTGGATGATTTGGGGGGCTCCGGGAGGCACCATCAGCCCATATGCAACCTTCCTAAGTGGGCTGCTGTGTCTCCTTCCTCCACCTGAGCTTGAAATTCTCATGGGTGGCGGGAGGTGGGGTGAGAGGGGGTGGAAGGGAAGTCCTCTGCTTTTATTAGCATGGATTTAACGGGTCTGCTGAGCTCATTATCTTCTAGGATAATAGATGGAAGATGTGGAGTGTCAGATCCTACAAAACAAGATTCCCTCATTTAATCCTGTGATGTACGCATCCTGAAAATTCATGAATATGACTGTTCTTTATGACCCAAAAGGCATTCTTTCTTTAAAGGTTTTATTTACTTTCAGAGGGGAAGGGAGGGAGAGCAACATCGAGGAGACCTGGTCGGCAACCCAGGCTGATCTTTCAGTTCTCAGGCCGGCGCTCAATCCATTGGGCCACACCAACCAAGGCCAAAAGGCATTCTAAAGATAGCAAGTCGTATTTTGTGTCCTGGATCTACTAGGGAGGAAAGCTCCTATCCTCATCCCCCACCCCGCATCAAAGTGGGCAAGAGGGAGAATGGTCAGTTTTTATAAGTCTTCTTGCTGTCAAGGTAGTTTCTTTTCCTTGGCTTCATTTCCCGAATGGCCAGATGCTGGAGCCAGGAGAATGGTCCGTATCCTCTTGGTACCTGGGCCTGAAAGAAACGACACTGGCCTGCATCTGTATAGTTTGAACGCTAGGGGGCAGCCTAATGAAACAATAGCCTGTGACGCCCCTGAGGAGCGGCAAGCACTGAGGTGTGGAAAAATACAAGCTCTGGAGCCCGACAGCCTTGCTAGCCCTGTGCGTTGTCGGCAAATTGTGTTAAAAACTTACGTGTAGAAGGGGAATATCAGTAACTTCCTTGCACGGTGACTGTGAAGGCTACCCGAACTCACATAAATTAAAGACCTGGGTGTTCCGTAAACTGTACCCTTTATTAAGGATGGAGTTTCCCCCTTTACTAGAAGAAGTTAGGTTCCTCCAATCCACCGTTTCTAAACCTTAGCACTACTGACATTTGAGGACAGATGATTCTTTGCTGGAGGGACCTGGGCATTATAGCACGCTTAACATCCCTACCCACTAGATGTCAGTAACACCCCATCCCACCCCAACTTGCTACAACAAAAAATGTCTCCTGACAATGCCAAGTGTCTCCTGGAGGGCAAAATAGCCTCATGTTGAGAATCGTTGCTCTAGGCCAGGGGTCAGATAACTTTTTCTGTAAAGGCCAACTGATTAATACTTTAGGCTTTGCAAGCCATCTGGTCTCTGCAACTATTCAACTGTTAACTGTAGCACAAAAGCAATCATAGATATTACGTATCTAATAGGATCAGTGTGGCTGTGTGCCAATAAAACTTCATTTACAGACACTGAAACTTGATGTTCACACTCGAATTTCATTTTCACAAGTCCTGAATTATTTTGATTCTTTTCAATCATTAAAAAATGTAAAAGCCATTCTTAGCCCGAGGGTCATACAAATGCAGGAGGTAGGACCAGATTTGGTCTCCAGGCCATAGTTTGCTTACCCCACCTGTAATGCATTTTAGTGCTTGTTGATGCATCATCAGACTAAAGGTGTTAGAAGCTACTGGCTGGTCAGAAGAAATCAGAAATGAAGACAAATGGCTGAAGTCTTAATGCAAGTTGCAGTGGGTGGGCAGTGGGTTTGATAAACTAAAATTTGCACACAGCTTTGCTGGAGCACAGATGGGAGACATGGGCCTGCTGCCGTCAATGAGATCCTGCTCTAGGGACTCTGAGCAGGTGAGAATGCCAACTACTTCTAGGGCAAGGACTAGGTTTCTAATACCCTCTAAAAGGCCAGGCAACCAGGGCTCCTGGCTGAAATGCCCCCACCTCAGGAGATTCATCCTTTAATGAAAGGGCAGTTTTCTTGCAAGGCCATTCTTTTAAAATGTGGATACCCCTTAAGAGAGTTCTGCATTTGAACAGTAGTATCTCACAGTGGTTCTGCCACCTAGACTTACCTTCCATCGCTGTCCATCCAAGTCCTCCACTACCTCTTAGTTTGTTTGAGCTTTAGAAAGTCCCTGCTCTGGGATCAATACCTATATAAGATTTGTGTGTGTGTGTGTGTGTGTGTGTGTGTGTGTGTGTACACACACACATTTTATATAAAGTATAGGATTGGGGACATACTCCTCATCTTGGTTTTAGGCTTAATCGGACTATTATTTCTTAATCAAATGGTAAGGGTATGTTGAACACCTCCTGTGGGTTTGGTCCAGTGCCCTATGCTATGGTGATGTTTTGCATGAGATCTAATTAGACACTGTTTTTGAGGAACTTAGATACTAGCCCCAACTTAACTACTCAACCTTGTTTTCCAGTACTTCCTAATACCCCTTCTCCCTTCCCGTACACCAAGTCTCTGCACAGGCCTCTCATGAGTTACACAAATGATTTATTGACTTTGTCTAAAATATCATCCACTGATTTAAATCCTGCTTTTGAGGCTCAGGCCCTACTTTCTCCTTGAAGCCTTTCTTGATCCCATCCACCTACTCTGATGTCTTCTTCATTTTTTAACTTCCTAGTTGAACTTTTATAATCTGCTTCCTGTTTGAGAGACTTATTTCCTCCATAGGTGTTAAGCTTCCTAAGATTAGGAACATCATTTATAGCACTCCCAAGTTTCCAGTACAGTGCTGGACACACAATAAAAAGTGAGTAAGAGGTAGCTAGATTGAGATTCTTCACCAATGCAGTGAACTATTACACTTTACTAGCACTTAATTTTAAAATTAAGTTACAAGAATAGTTCAAAGTATACCCACATACTCTTGACCCAGAGTCACCAATTGATAGCATTTTGCCCTATTCGCTTTATCATTTGTTTTCTCTCTCTCTCTCTCTCTCTCTCTCTCTCTATATATATATATATATTTGTGAACCATTTGAAGGTAATTTATATGAATCATGGCCCTTTACCCCTAATATTCCAGTGGGTATTTCCTAAAAATAAGGACATTCTCTTACATAACCACAGTTATCAACTTTAGTAAATTCAGTAAATCAGTGTAACATTGTTACACTCATCTATTAAATAATATGGTTTATAGCATTTTTTCTTGCCATATGGAATTTGGTCTAGGATCACCCATTGTGTCCTGTCTTTTTAGTTTCCTTTAATCTGGAACAGCCTTCCTTTGTCTTTTATGACATTGATATTTTTGAAGTCCCATTTAAAAATTAGACAGTTCTCATTCTGGGTCAAAGTGTTGCCCAATTTTCCCACTATGTAATTACTGTTTCTTTGTTTTTTGGCCTGAACCAATCTACAAAATGTTGATTTTTCAACTCCACCACTCCCTTCATATCTACCAGTCAGCACATGATATTCTAAGTAAAGGCTCTCCCTTGTCCCTCATTATCTGTCTACTTAGTGTCATTGTGGACTTACGTGTTTTGTTTTGTTTTTCTTATTTTTCAAGGATACTTACTGTCCTTAATAATCTTGGTGTTCACATTTCCAAGATATGGCCAGTAGGAGCTCCTAAATATTGCTTTTAATCCGTTAGTAAACATTCCTTAAGAGGACATTGTAGGGCAGATCATTCTGGTCGAGAACTTTTGGTGATCTAATAATATTTGGGATAGTTTATGGGGGTGCTGGTTAGCCAGGCACCAAGTTTTCCCCCTTTGATCAGTCACTGATTCCCCCATAGGAAAGGGCAGGGAGGGAAGCTCGGAGCTGGCAGTGTGTGTGTATAATAGTGTAAAGATGATAGTGGGAGCCTGTTTCAGAACAGAGAACCATGATGGAGGGGAGGAGAATGGATGGCTACAGGAGGCTTCTGGATTGTTTTAGGATCACAGTGGTTGCTTTTATCATCGCTCCCTCCTATACCCATCATCAACCATTTTTCAGATAATGTCCTTCTGCGTAGGAGTTGCAATTCCTGCTCACTGAGAAATCGCCTGTGTCTTGTGAGAAGGGAATGGGCTGAGAGGTTGGCAGAAATATCTTTTGATCAGGAGGATTTCTAGTGAAATACGGTCATGGATAATCATGGGAAATTTTTGTTTGGCTTTCTAGAAATGAATCTCTGTATTCCGTAGTGGGAATTACAAATGGAATCCAGTTATGGCTGTTCCAAAGTAAATGGCCTCTAACTTCAGTTTCATCTCCTTTCATTTTGTAATCCAAGTTCAAAAGTCAGATTGCAATGATTTGTTCCTATGATGAACAAGTTTTCATCCAAGCTGAGAGGATGTAGCTTTTATTTTTTCAAATCTTTTTCTAGGAAAGATGTGTATTGATGGCAACACTGTTGATGAAGGCTGGCAGCTTAGGCTAAAATTAATCCAACTGTAAAATAACAAATCAGCTTAAAATATAAACTCCAAGGAAATGAATTTCACAAGATTGGGACAATGGGAAGAGCCTTCATTAACTCAGTCATTCACTTAATTCAAGAAATATACCCTGGCTGGTGTGGCTCAGTGGATTGAGTGCCTGTCTGTGAAGCACAATGTTGCCGGTTCAATTCCCAGTCAGGGCACATGCCTGGGTTGCAAGCCAGGTCCCCAGTAGGGGGCTTGCGAGAGGCAACTGATCAATGTATCTCTCACATATTGATGTTTCTCTGCCTCTCTTTCTCCCTCCCTCCCTCCCTCTCTAAAAATAAATAAAATAAAATAGAAAGAAATATCTATGGAGTGCCCACAGTAGCCAGGCATAAGTGCTAAAAGCAAATTGGATGAGTTCCTTGTTTTCATGGACCTGACACTGGGGGGTGGGGAGCAGTCAAACTATTTTTTTTTTAAGTTCAAAAGGTGATACATGTTGTGAGAAAAAATTATTAAAAAAAAACGGCGATGC